CTTTCCCTTGCTTTAAGTGTCAGTAATGACATGAACTCTTATGCAAGAAATAAAGAATCATCTAGACAGATTCTTCCATCTAATCTGAAGATTGACATTCAAGTTAGACCAAAGTATTATAGGGTCATACAGAGAAGTAAAGAAGCAAAACACACCCATTTGCAACCTGCCTATGAAGTGTCTCTGGCAAGACAGATTTTTACTGAATGCCACGCAGACCAAGTGAGCCCATCATCTGTGGGACCATGACAGCTGCTTCTGTCTGGCAGCAGTCAGCAAAGCTGGCAAAGCGTACATAGAGGGGTGTACAACGTGCCAGGAAAGCATGCTGTAAACCACACTCCCAACTTCATCCCCTGAAATAAAAGGTAAATCTTGGGCAGGAGTTTGTCTCTTTCCAGTAAGATTTACAGGGCAGCAGAGTCATTTGCCAGCCCACAGACAAGGAGAAAAATGAAGGAATAATTCCATCTTGTGACTTTCAAAAGTTTTCTTTTAAATAAAAGTGCCACTTTTCCCATTTTTTAACAATGACTGCTTAAAAAGCAGTTCCATTTAGTTTTCATTTTTCTTTACGGGAAAGATAAGCATCCTGAAGAGGACCCAAAAAAGCCTGAAGAGACATAAGTTATATCTGCATTGTTTTGAGGAAGTGGCTTCCAATTGGTCCTGGAAAAAATAAAGGTAATGAAAACTGAGAAAAGAGTCCAGCTACCATACTAAGAGATCTGTGTTGAAGAGGACAGAATCTGGCTGAAATCTTAACTGGTTTTGGGAATTGTGTGGACAACTCAAGTCCCTGACAGAGGTGGAATTAAAAGAGATTTGGCTGGAGAGATGAGTCCTAGAAGAGGCAAACTACTGGTCGGTGCGGAAACACAGGGTTATCAGACTATCCTCAATCAAGAAAAGGTGCATTATGCAGTATGAAATCTGCCCACAAAACCAGACATAAGACATTTTAAAGTGAAAGGCTCCAAGGAGCCTTCTGAAAATCCCATCCCTTTCAGATTTTAATCCTCACAATAAAATAGAACCATCTCAATTTTAAAATACATAATTACTACATACTAATATGGGTAACAAGACTATCCAGCATTATCTTAATTAATTACAATACTAATTCTTGCTAATTAATTCAAGCCAAATCCTTTTTGCTAGAGCCAACTATTGAAGGAACAGTTTTCTAATTAGTTTTTATTTTCAAAAAACCCTAAATACTAGATTTGACTACTTTAGAGACAAGGGACCTTAAGTCTGGTCCACTGTCTCAGCTCCTACATAATCCTATGAAATAATCTGCCAAGTCAAGAATTTTCAAACTCTCCCTTACAAACGGCTGTCACTGAAAACAAAAGAATCCTGGTCTATCTTTTCAGACCACATTCTTTCTTTCTCTCTTTTGTACTGCAGGCCATGCCTTTAGACACAGTAGAAGAATCAAAGACAATCCATCAAGAGAGGAGATGGCAAGCAAGAGACATAGCAGAAAGAATGGCAAAAATGCAAGCAGTCTTTATTTTAGATTGCTCAGAGTCACTGGATTTTCCCTGGGGAAACTTCTCACTTACACGCAGAGGTATTCAAACGACAATTTTGTCTTCGAAACAGAGTAATTCCTTCAAAATTTAAACTGACTGGCTATGAGGTTCAAGAATGATTTTGATTTTTGCACACAGTACAGATTATCATGTTATTCAGCTATTTGGTGTTTCATCTAAAGTAGTTAGCCTTCTTCAGCAGAAGAATACCATGCAGGATGAACCAATGCTTTCTCTTCTGCCACAGTAACTGTGGCCTTCTCCAAGTTTTCCTCAGATGAAGCAGAAGAACGGCTGCCAACACTGGGCTACGCATTTTCATTCAGAACTGCAAACCCTGGCTGGAGCCATGGCTGCTTAGAGGTAGGTGTAATTTAGATTACTTGCAAAGTAATCTAATCTACTTTGGTGCATCTAGGAAATTAGGCAGCTTCAACCTCCACCACCAACTTCCTTCTTCTATTTGAACTCTTTATCCTCTTATGCAGAGTTTGAAAAAGAAGTGAGCATACGCTGCAATAGTGTCAACAGCAATAATTTCCTGATAAGGAAATTCCCCATCAAATACTTTTGCTCTGCTTAGCTCCAGTGCCTTTAGACATATGGAATATCCCTGCTTTGAAAAGTTAGCCAGATTTTCATAAAAACATTGAACTTGGATAATGAAATCACAGTATTTACAAGCACCAATAGCAAACAGGAGACTGACACAAACAAGGAGTGTTCCATCCAAATCACATAAGCATACTCAGATACAATGAAAAATACTTTAGGTATCAAATAATATTTACATTTTTATTTTCGAGAAACACATGCCACTATATTTTGAGCTGAATCAACCATTACCTTTTTCCTCTTCTGAAAGCTCCTCTATGGGCTCCAGCATATGCACCAAGGGTGCCTGCTCTAATAACGAGGAAGAACAGGAACACCAGACAGACAAGACAGAAGGTGGTCAAGGTCCAGAATGGGAAAGTTAGTCAAAAAAACACACTGATGTCAATTTTCCTGATTGCTGACAACCTGCTTAACAATCACAAATCCGATGCAACGTGTCTCTTCACGGTTTTAGGTACTGCCTTGGCAGTACATTTTTGTGGAGGACACCCTAATACAGTAGTCATTTCAGGAGAGATGCAGTTGCCCAAACATGGGTGTCTAGTGTCATCTCAGATACATTACAGTTTTAAGCCACTGGCACAGGGCTGGTGACATGACATGCAACTACCAAAAAAACCCATGCCCATCTGGAATAGCACTCAGAGGCCAGGGGGGATGTTTTGAGGTGTCTGCAGGGACAAGGCAATGTAGGATTAAGGAAATGAATGTATGTTGCCATTCATTTCTCATAAGAAGCATTTTAATTTTTATATTTATTTTAAAATATTGTTTATGTGCAATTTGATACTAAAAGTTTACAAAAGGCAAGTGAAATAGACAGACACAGAAATGCTCAAAAATATATGGAAAAAATATGTTAACTCATCATTCCAGAGAATTATTAAGTACTGAGTTTATACTCAGTAGTATACTCAATACTATATGCAAGAAAGTGAAATAATATATATATGATAATTTCCAATAAAACCAATTTAAAAAATCTTCAATCACTGCAATACAGTGAGATTCACTATCATCCTGTGCTTTTAAGAAATCTTGAAATGTCCTCTGCTGAAAACAGCTTCCTAAACACATAGAAATTATCATTCTATAGGCTGTCAGGTACAGTTTGCTTTACATAAATGAAGGCAGAGTACAGTTTATTTACACCTTTATAGACTTCAGATACAAGATGCATGAAAATGCTTATATGTAGACAAATAAAAATTTAGGTTTTAAAAATGTTAATATTCACCTTTCATAAATAAATTTATTTCAATGAAAACTAGAATTTTAGTTTCTTCTAGGGTTTATGATAAAACCAGAAACGTGCAATCTGTACTTTCAGCATTCAACTACTGGCAGTATAGAGAAAACAATCTATTGGCCATTATTTTGGGCCAACACACATTTCCCCAGCCTTCACAAGAAAACTTTGGCACTACAAATGATTGTTACACTGTAGGGGTAGAAGGGGAGGAAGTGCCACTGTAATAAAGACACCTGCTCTTCAGCACTTCTTGTCTAATGAGGTACAAACGTAGATGCACTGTGATGGGTTATCAAGGTGAAATGAGCACTTGGAGCCAAGTGACACTGTCACATCTCCAATATTCCCCATCTGAAGGGGACTAAAAGCAGTGTTGTAAATGCTTGGGTATGGCTGCTGTTCTCTCCACACTCTCCATACTTGTGGTTACATTCAGCTTCTCACCTGTTTTTCCAAGCAGGTTACAAGACTTAACATTTGCTCCCACTGAATTCGCACTAAACAAGAAGCTCTAAAAAAATGCTTCTTACAGCATCACAAGATGCTAACAAGATGCAAATGTCAATATCTTTTATGGAAACACTTAAAAGCAAAACTCTGAGAGACTGACAAATAGGTTTCTGGTCTTTCAGTCTCTAAGGCTGTAAAATTTAGCAGTGGCCAGAGCATTCCTGGGCACTGGAATATGATCCTCCACACTACTGAACACCTAAAGCTTTTCCTGGCACACTGCTGCCTTGCACCAACCAACATTCTCCAAAACAATGGTCAGGCAAAGTTTAGGATCATTCCCAAAAGCCTGCAGTGAGCCTCTTCTGGTGGACAGAGCCAGAAGCACAGATGAGGGATGCTCTGGGGATATTTAATTTATCTGCACAGGCACTGAGGCCTCTAAATTTCTTGGCTGGACCTACTAGACAGTAAGCCAGTTGCTGTGTAATTGTATTTAATCTATACTTGTTTTACCTGTACTTTACTCAAAATGCAATCTGCTTAAAGGAGCTGATTCATCTCTGCACAAGCGCTTGTCAAGTAACTTAATTTAACAGGAAAAGCCCAATCCCCGGAACTCAGACTTGAAAATAGTCTGCTAATCTGGCATACAGGTACATGCTTCTCTTTCTCAGGATACTAGAAACAGAGGAAGTTAAAATCAGTAAAAGAACTTAATGAAATA